ACTAACGTAAATTCGCGCATAATTTCCGCTTGAATGTAAAACGCTTGAATGTCTAACGCGCTGAAACAAATTAAGGTAATCGGCATGCAGAAAAACTGCTTTACATTCCTCTTGAAAAGCTTTAGTCGCGAAGCTGCGGAAAGTTTTGCGTGTTGCGTTTGGTGCTATTAGATGAATATAGATGAGCTGTAACTTCATGTAATATTAAATAATTCTATCGTTCGCGTGAGAGTAAGAAGCTCCGCTAAAAGAAAAAAAAAAGAGCCACTCCACAAATTCCCCCCCCCTCCCCCCAAAAAGAAGCTACATGCAAATGTACGATTTCCAGCGCATGCATGTATATCGAAGAATTGTCAATGTATCAGTTATCAATTCTTATCGATCGCTTTGAAGCGAAACCTTTACCTTTACCGTCAAAGCAGTTACGTTTATTCGCGGTGCATGCTCGATGGAACGCAAGCGCGCGGCGGGAATCATCGTTGCGAATCGACGGGAGCAAATTTTCCCTGTGGCGGTACCAGGCCGCGATTACGGTCGAGCTGCGTACGATCATGTAGAAAGAACGCATTAGGGCGAAGCGCGGTATTAGCAGAGAATTCAACCTGCAGACCGGACGGCGTTGCCGGCCGTCTAAACCGGACTATATCGTCCAGAACTAATTGCCTCGATGGACGTTCGGTCGCTGCCTGGTGCCTCCTGTGCCAAATGGTTGTTCGCGAACGAAGCATCGGCGACGGAAAGAGGGCCACGCGTTAGAGACGTGGCGAGACGTGAGGAGAGAGAGAGAGAGAGCGGCTCGCTCGCTCGTTCGTTCGCCTGTGCAAACGACGATCCTATCGTCGACTAACGGGGCCCCGGCTTTAGAAGTTTCGTGATCGTGACGCGGTATGTCGTCGTCGCCGATTGTCGTCGTCTTGTTGCCGGCATCGATCACGATCACGTGCTATGTATAGCCGGCCGAGCAACATTTTATTCGGCGATTCGTTTCGGTTTCGGCCGGACAGGAGTTTCAAGTTTATTCGGTCTTTTTGTTTTTAATGGAGCAAGCGTCGGGATGACGAGGAAGAGATGCATTCGACGATCAGCCGAAAGGAAACTCGTGTCGAGAAACTATCAAAGCGTGACCGAGATCCTCTCCGCTCTTGGACATCCACGACTGACCGATTTGCAACCGATCGAATTAACTTCTCTGCACTATTCTAGCCTCGCTCTTCGTAAAAGATCCTATCGAGTCGCCGTGGCATGCAACCCGTGATCTCGTACCTCCCCCTTTCCCGCCCTCCAACCCTCCGCGTTGTCGCCAGAAATTCCGCGATTAACGCTATAGATTTTTCTTATTCCGGTACGTAGGGAGAAAAACCGATGACAACGAGCATGTGGAAGCGAGATGAAAGCGGGTTAAAAGCAGTAAAAAGAGTACTTTGTAGACGTCAAGCTGTCACATACAGGCATACTTGCGAGCCGGCACGCAAGAGGGTTTTCTCGAGAAATTCGCCGTAAAACGGTCGCCGGTGCGTAAGATGCTCGGGGAGCCTTTGCATACATGCGCGCCCTGTCTCGAATATCTTTTACTTTCTCCGCTCTTTAGATGCACCTCAACGTCCCTTTACTCGTATCTCGCCGTTACTGCTAGATTATCACGTGTGCGTTCAAGCGTTGATGGTTTTACGACAGGTACAAAAGACGCGAGTGTAAAACGACGCATCGTCGGAGCTGGCAAGTGCGATCGCGCTTCCCTGGGCTCCCCGAGCGGCCGTGCCGGCGCCTTTCGGCAATTATCCGGCATGACGATCGCGTAAAAGAAATATCGTGCAAGAATTACACGTGATCGCGAGACGTTTACTTTTTATTCCGTTCGCCAGATGTTCGTGCGAGTTTTACATCGCCCCGGGCGCCGCGGCACACAATTGGGACACGATGCCGTCTTTCAACCGAATCTGTTCCGGTCATATAGTTAGTTCTCCGTGTGTAAAAACGAGTGCGAAGTACATCTCGGTTGGTCCATTAGATCGCCCGTTTTTTGCGTCACGTAAGGGCTCTTTACCGCGCGGGCAAAAAGTATCCGAACGTATCTCACGGCGGAAACATTTTAGAAATATCACTTAATTAATGTTATTGTTCCATTGTATTACTTATTTTTACATGGAAAAACGTAATATAATAAATTGATAATATGACCGTCGAGTAAAAAAAAAAGATGTTGCACAAATCATAAAATTACAGTCATAATATCGTGATAAGTTGTTAATCAGCGAATCGTTTTCAGATATATACAAATAATTCACTTTTTCAAGACATTACTTGAAGCATCGGTCAGCTTGCAACGCGATAGTAATTTATACACGTCCGTTTTAGTTTCCTCATCTCGGAAGCAAATTACCTGGTATGTGTTACCCCTGACAGATGCGCTCGAAAAATATCAACGGAACAATACCGCTTCTCCATAGGTATAAGATCCCATTCTGCCGTTTAATTAATGCCCACAAGTCCGACGTCTGCGGACGTATAGTTTATATTAATTATACCTCGGAAGATTCAATTAGTGCGTTTCTCATTACACTTACTTATACCGGTATCCATTATTCATGAGGAACCACTGCGGTAGCACCCTCTGACAATGCACGTGATCCTTATAATTCATCGTCAGAACCGAATATATAAATAATATACACATAACGCATATATCGGTCCTCCACGCGAAATATACGAAAATGTACATTTATTTTGATATAAAGCACGAGAAAGAAGGTAGAGAGGAGAAGTGAAAAAAAAAAAGAATATTTTACGAAAACTTTCTATCAAAATATTAAATCACTTTTAATTTTTTATATCTCCAGAAACTGCAATAATTTTTACTTGTTTCTTTTAACGATTTAATACGTTATATATTAAGTAATAATATATGTTTATACATAAAACCCAACAATGACGAGAATTTGTTGCGACGTGTATTGCAATTTTTATTTCAAGATTTTATCAGCGTTTCAAAGTTCTCCTCAAGGAAGATATATTCGCATACGTGCCGTAAAGGCATTCAACAGCGGCGGGAAAATAATGGGTCAAGAAATACTCGAGAAAGAGTGTACCTCAGGGCGACACCCAATATGTGGCTCCGCTGGGTGCACAGCCTCTAGTAGAAAAATCAACCGCACTGAAAGTGCGAAAGCTGTTTCGTACTCTGCAAAAATTTAAATAAGATTCGAACGAACGAAAAATCTCTGAATGCAATTCCGGAGATATTTGCCAAAGAGCGCGATCAACCAATCGTGTTATTCGCTAAAAGGAATCGATATTAGTTGAAACTGCACATTGCAGAATTTATGAATTTTATCAAATTGTACATTGTAGAATTCAAGCTATATTTAATTCAATTATTGTTCATTATGCCACGTATTTGTAGGTTGCATTTTAACGTTTTAATATATATTTTTTAATAATTAGTACAGGAGTTTCTAATATGCATGCGCCTGCAATTAAATACCAATGAAAATACTGATTCTGTCGAGAATGGTTGATATATTTCTGGAAAAAAAATTGAAAACTAAAATATAAAATGTAAAAGATAATATTTATGACAGACTGTTAGATGGAAACGATTATTGCACAGTTCGATATAGAATCCCCGATATTTTTATACGATATTGATTTGACGTTGGAAAATTCGTTTAACATATACGTCAGAGTTAAACTCTTGCAATTGCTATACAGATTGTATATACAGTGGCTTAGGAAAATATTCAATATTTGCGGATACATCGGATAATGAAAGGCAATCTTATTATAGTAAAACTAATTTAAATTTATTAAAAATAATTTATATTAAGCTAAATAATAATTATTATTCTATCTGCTCATTAACATCTACTCTCTCAATTCACATTTTTGCGTCTAATAAACGAAATATTTATTTCATATAATATTACGGTCGCAATAATTCTAAGATTATTACAGTCATAATAATTCTGAAATTGGTTAACATCTAATAGGGATTTCTAAGTCCTTTGATAGGAATGTAGAATAATGTTCAATTCATGCTTATGTTATTAATATTTGTACCATTTCCAATAATCTGTAGGAATTATCAAACGTACAATCTCCTGTTCGCGTTATAGAATCCTCAATCAACGAAATTATGTTATCCTTAATATCTTTTCATTATTAATGTATTAATTAATGGATTAGACAGATGAAAAATTACGCGTATACGGTTTACGAAGAACGTGCGATAAGCACATCGACCCGATTCTCACCGACGTGAGTACCGGACGACACCGTCTATTATGTCTCACGTTTTGTTTCGCTTATTTTCATCCGGTAGATCAAGGCAATTGGTACCGCGGGCATTGTACAGAAAATTATTGCGCTTCGCCCAAAGCGATCCTTACATTACACAAAATGTTCGTACGAGACTGATGTGAAACGATCTTAACATACTTGGGTTAATCCTACGAAACGCGCGTAATTGCGCAAAACAACAAGAAGACGCGCGGGAGCTCGAGGCTCGCTCATCCCACATGTACGTATGGAAATCTAATTTTAATGATAACGGATCACGAAGATTATCGCATATTAATCTTAGTTTACTCGCCATTCTAAATATTATTGTCATTGAATTTTTCTCGACCGGGAGATGGTAACGGTATCGTTTCGTAAATGCATCCATTAAAGCAATGCTATTAAATTTGAACGTGTATACGCGGCACAACAGAACGCTCGATCAAACGTTTAAAAACGCTTTTACGCGGCAGAAACTATTCCTTTATGCCACCATGAAGTTGTAGAATGTTCTTAATTAACGTCCGCGTAATAAGGCAATCAAGTGATCTGCGTTCCGCCGCTCTAACTTTTCCCTCGTAGAAAGGAAAAAAAAAAAGAAGAAACATCCACCTTAGAGCAGTTATCGGATGGAGTAGCCTCGGGAGTTTGTTAGCATCAGCGCATACATAGTCGATAGTACGTACTACAGTCTTTAGGAAGATACGATAACGATTCAATCTTACCTGGATTGCTGTCGGCGTTAGAGCTGAATAGGACGCAAAGGCCCGTCTCGTAGTTGACCGCCTGGCAGGAGTCGTTTGCCTGACAGGTCTCGAGGCAGTCGGTGAGCATCAGCGTGCCCGGTATGGACTCGAGCATGTTCGTGGGCGCGGTGAACACGTAGCCGGTTACGAGCTCGAAGCCAACCATCTCGGGATCGCACTCGTCCGAACCCGCGGACGGTCCGGTGTAATCCGGGCCGGAGAGGCCGGACGGCACGGACGCGGACGACGGCGACAGGTCGGCCGCGGCCGCGTGCGCCGATTCCGCGGCGGCCGCGTGGCCGTACCTCGAGATGGTTTGCAACAGCAGCAGTAACGTGACGAGATATCGACGATACGGTCTCGTCATTGTCGTGTTTCGTTTCAACGCTCAGTAATACAGTAACGTCGCGGTCGCGTGTAATCTGCAACAGAAAGGAGAGAGTGGGCGTTTAATATGGCACTTTTAAATCCGTCCGAAAAGCATAATTTTTTAAATAAATATCTTTGGCACATCCTATCCAGAGAGAACAGAACTTTATTCTGAAAAGCATGATTTTGAGACATAAAATAATTTCTAAAAGCAAATGTTATATCATTAGAGTCATTAATTGAGTTTCAAAAAATAGAAAGATGGGAAAAGATTTATTTTCCACAGAAACACTCGCTGCCTTCATTTCTAATTTCAGAAATGCAAGCAGAAATCCAACAGGTCTCTACACTTTCTCAGTTTTCCAGAATTATGCTGCAAAATGTGAAATGTCGTGCAACTTTCATCATGAAAATTTCTTTTAATATTTATTTTCTGCGTTGTGACTTACTGTGAAAATTTTAAAAGAAAGGTTGAAAATATGGGAGAAAAATTGAAGTACACGAACATAATGGAAGTTTGCTTGAAATTCTCTTAAAATCTTATATATTTAATGACAATAGTAACGATACTACTTTTTAGAGTTAAGTGCGAAATAAAAAGAATCGCGCGGAATTAAACGTCTTAAGCGTTTTCCTGAACCGTTTTTCTTCGTTATGAAACTATTTTCTCTATTACTTAAGCGAATGCTTCAGCGCTCTGACGGGCTGAATAAAGGGGAATTAACGGAAGCAAGGATTAACGGGATGGAATGTATCGCCGTTGGTCAAGTGTCGCGCTGTTCTTGTAAACGAACGGGAACGGGAATAGCAAATTGGAAAATAAGATTTGCCAATATATTAATAATGCAAGGTGAAGCAATATAACGACGTTAATTTTGCGAATAATCGACGGTGCTTTGAAGCGATGATATTCGGTCGATGACATTGAAATAGTCCATAATTAAGCAACTTTAAAGAAACCAGATTCTCACATTGAGATTTTATATTTATAGAAATCAGTACAGAATTTTAATAATTTCGTAAACTTTTTTTTAATCGTGATGCAGGGTCAATGTCATTTTATAAAGAGAACGCATAAATATGAAATTACTGAATTTAAAGTGCTTTCAAGTTAGAAGACGAGCATGGACGCGCAATCTATCTATTAAATCGCGATATCTGCATTCATTAACATACAGCACCATTATGACAGACTTTTTATAACGTTCGGGCGACACGAATAAATTGAAATAACAATTAGAATATTAAAAATGCGGAACAGAGCAATAAAAATTGAGAATCGTTCATATTTCCGTTACACCGCTGCATATATTGCGCAATAAATAACAAACAGCGCGGCGTGCATATGTGGGAATTTAAATCGCCGGATACTTTCGTGGACCACTATGACCCCGTGGAATTGCGATCCAATGGCAGTCCGCGCGAACTCTGACAGTTTTGTTCCGCCGAAAATAACGCTGAAATATACCGGCGCGTTCGAAATGTTGCGGCTCGCGCGCGTTCCTACGCGTGCTGCACATGGAAATCACCCACCCCCAACTGTGTTGCACTGTTGGTGTAACCTTTGGTACACAGACGAATTCCAGGAAACGTACCTGGTCGAACGGTCGGGAGAACAGCAGCAGCAGTAGCAGCAGTAGCTGACCGATGTATCGACGTCGAATTTCGTGGGACGCGAATTGGCCGCGATATTGCACGTTGCAATTCGGCGGCGCTTTAACCACTCGCACTCGGTGCGCCGCGCGAAGGCAAATTCCACGGGCACCTTTCTCACGGGATCATCAGCGAGCGCTCTCTCTTGAGAATGGCCGTTAGCGCACAATGTTGAAACGGTACACACAAACGTGGGCCAAGCCTTACACGATATCGCGTATCCGCGAAAGGGGGAGACCGAGAACACAGGGAAGAAAGAGAAATCCGAAGGGGGGAAGGAAGAAACCGATTACTTTTGTTTGTCGCGCATGGCGTAAAACCACCACGAAATCACAGACGCGGCACGCCGATTCGCAATGGTGATGCGCGCGAGAGCCTCGCGACCCGCCGCGGCCGCTCAGAGGATATAACTATGTCGGCCGACTGGCTCTTAGGCACTGTGTACACCTGGCACTGTGGCTCTTCCACGAGCGACCGAAGACGTCTGCCGGAGGGGACCGAGGCCGCTGCCGTCTAAGGAGGACAGAACGGTACGCACAATTCGATCGCCAGTACAACACCATTGAAAACATCACCGGCCGGTCTCCTACCTCTTTCTCTTTCTCTTGATCGGCCACCTCGCGTATCCCCGCCCAGATTCCCCGCGCGCTTCCCCCTTTCCGTATTCTATTTTTTTTCCCTCTACTTTTTTTTTTCCTTACATTCCCGGCCGGGATCGGTGAAGTCACGCCACTTTAAGGCGCCGAGAATAAGCCAGCTCGCGATTGTCAATGCGGGTTTAGCGGATTCTGAACCCACTGCTGTCGCCGCCCACTTACTTACTTCAAAATCTTCCGCGATCGCACATTTAAATAGGGTCTATTTTCGCACGATGACACATTATGCTCATGTTAGGCTGAACTAAAGCCGGGTGAGCTGTGATACTTTGCGCGCTAAGTTATACGCTGACAAGGAGATTTACTAGCCCCTTGACGTCCTCTTATCCTCTTTACGCAGCCTCCACCGTGGCTTATTTGATAGGTTCTTTATTATTATTCTTTTTTTTATATGTCGGCAAACGAGATATCACGGGAGAAGGGATCTGACAGCTAAGCACGTTGTCGCTCGTTATTTTTTTTAGCTACGATAAAGGTTCTGTATAACGCGGAGAGATAAGCACGATATTCCCAGTACTGCTTCGGATGCTCTCTCTCTCTCTCTCCCGGTTCTTTCGTAACGCAACATAACGGATCGATCGCCTCGGGGAGATCGGCTGCCGAATCGGCCGCAAAGTTAATTCATTTCGCAATTGCTTCCGCCATCAGTGGCGTGAGAGCGATATCATTTTGTGGACTCGCGAGCGTATGATGTTGACCGATTCGGACAATCGCGGATGCATCCGGCCGCAAAATTACCGTTTTGCACGTGTGCACGACGGCACACCGCGCGCGCGTATCATCGATGTAAGGATTCGACATCGGATGGTTACGTTTAATTGGTGGATGGAGTATGAATGCGAATAGCTCGGTCCATGCAGCGGATATGCGAGCGAGCGAGAGCGTTTCGCGCGCCGGGGATCGGCACGCGTGGTGCACCACCGACCAACGAAGATAACTCTCTCGGTGCGAAGGAAACTAGACGGAGTAAACGGACGCACTCTCTGTCATTAGTCGGTACTTGTTGCAGCCGTGGAAGACTCGTGGAATGAGCCGATGATGCGTGTCTAGTAAATAGTAATTATGTCGCGCGAGAGAGAGAAAGACAGAGAGAAAGAAAGAGAGAGAGAGAGCGAGCGGACGCATACCAAGAATCGAGGAGCGGGAGTTGCGCTATGCCGTGCGGTAAACGAGGGACGAGGGAACGGGGCGTATAGAAACGGGAGCGACGGTGAGCGAGGGAAAAGAAGGGGCCTCAAAGAGAGCAAAATTGAATGTTCACGTGTGAACAACGCGACCCGCGGCCGGGCATCGGTGTCTCCGCGGAAACACACGGGCGAGCGCGATCTCTACATTCTGAAAAGCTTCCAGCGCAAGACGTGCGGGAAATAGGTGGAAAGAAGGAGTGAAAGAAAGAAGGAGGCGGCGGAGAGGAAGAGGGAAAGGACGGTCGGCGAAGGTGGAGGGATGGGGAGGGGAGGGGGGGGCAGAGCAGGCGCTCGGTACCAGGTGCCTGTACCATCGCGTCACCATGGCGGAATAACGGTTTCTGGATGTCCCATCGGGTTCAATCGCAAACGGCTATCTCTCGCGCCGCGGAATTTCGCAGGGAAACGACCGCTTCGCCGTCGTCGCGACCGTATCGACTCACGTACGGGCGGCCGCCGTTCGACCGCCCTTGAGCACCGCTCGACTCAGCGACAGGGGCCCCTCTCCTTCTGCCCCACTTCATATAATTCGGCGACGCGGTGCGCGTCTGGCGAACGTTAAATCCTGTCGATAAAAGGGACAACGGGATAATCCTTACGTCTGCTCCATTTTTCGCAGAACGGCAATTCGAAATTGTATACGAGCTTGAGGGATGATGAGAGAGATGAGAAGAGCCGCGGACAGTGTGTGACCGAACAAGATGCCGGCTTCCCGCAAGAATCTAAGGAAACGATCGATCATCGCGCCGTCGAATATAGTTGAGCTCGCGGTTAAAACCTCCCATGCCGGACACACCGGTAACCATATATGAATGGCCTGGATATTATTAACGTGCGTGTTAAGTTATTACTAATAAAGATACCGTAGCGTCGGCGGCAAGATACACGCAAGGAGAACGATCACGCGGCGCGATAAGATAATTACTACCAGCAATCGGTGGCAATAGCATCAACGCCGCGCGCGGTTACCGCACTGTCTCACGGCGGCAATGCGGCGGTGTACGTGCGCGTGTATATGTGTGCGAGTGTTACATTAACTTGTATCAACTCGCTCCGGATGGACCGAAGTGATTCTTATGGAAATTGAACGGGTAACCAGTACCTCCTATTCCTGTCGAGTATACGTTGCGCCGGGCGTTGCTGAAACGCCGATCGATTACTTCGTCCCCACGCGTTCGACCGCTTCGAATTTCTCATCTATTTGCCGGACGAACCGGAGACGCCGCGTCGTGAGAACTTAGCCGATCGGTCAATTAGAATATGTTAACCCATCCCCCCCCA